TCTGGATTCTGCTGTTTACTGCATTAAAAATGCATTCTTTTGACAGGGAAACTAACTTATCAAAGGATGTTGAACGTTTTTCCAGGAGCCCATTAGGCCCTTGATGCTAGAGCAATCTTTGCAGAGTTGAGTAAAACAGCAATTGTTGGGTCTTTGCCACACTCACGTTCTTAATGGTGTGCTTTAATTAAGCAAACTGACCAACTCATTTCAGGAACACAGGAAGCATCAATGTTTTTCATGTGGAAAACAAGTTTAACTAGAAAGCTTTCAGGAAATATTGCTGGTAATATGGGCAGGTCAGACAATGTTGTCAGGCCTTTCTATTGAACCCACCAGCCACACGTTAGCAGCTCTCATAACTTCACTGCGAGTCACACAGCATCTGGTAGATTCACAGAAGCCTCCGCTTCCAATTTTATTATCATGAGAAACTTTTTATTTTGGTCCATTTGTAGACTTTATGGTTGAAGAGAAAAGTTTGAAAACACAATTTTTAGATCTCACAAGCAAACAACCTCATTATTTACTTATTTAAATCCCATGTTTGTTAAGTAAATCCTGTGGTCTGTGGGACTGTGTGGTACTTATTCCTGTGCATCTTTGATTAGGAGAGTAAAAGAACAAAGTTTTCCTTGTTGCTATAGATGAACAATAAAGAAAACCCAAACCATTCTTAAAGATACTTTAAAAATGTCTACAATTTGGTGAGCATTAAACAGAAATGCTTGAGAAGTCTCTGAACAAGCCCTGGCAACAAAACCAACAGTCAAATCAAAGTAGTACCATGCCCAGGCTGTTCTGGTTTTGGGCAGCAGACTTATATTTCCACACAGCACTGGCCTAAGCCATGTAGAGGTACCAATTTATCTTGAAATTATTTGGATATTTAAGATAGTGATGTACTGCATAAGGTAGATGTGCCTGCAGTTTTGCAAAGCCATAACTAGTGCTTAAAGTAAGAGTAATGGTGGAGACTGCTTATCATTTATTTTTTTTACTGAGCAAAGAATCATTAACCTTACTTTAGAGTGTTATGAATCTGCCCTTTTTTTTTTTTTTTTTTTTTTCTGCACTCATTCCTGGTTATCTTGATGGTTGTCTTCCTGCTTCAAACCACATGAAGCAACTTTTGGTCTCTGAGCTTTCAAGTCAGAGAAGTTTGCAGCAATTAAAGGGAGAGACTCCAGACAACGTTGATGGGGGGATAGTTTGCTATAGACATAGGCTGGCTGAAAACAAGGTGTTTTTTTCTTTTTTTTTTCTTTGAAGAATATGATAGAAAGATTGAAGGTCTAAACTGGCGACTCTTCCAAAATCTGCTGCTGTCCATGAATAGAAGTTTTAAAAACGTACCCTTTTGAAAGGTGATATGACATTGTCGGTAACGCATTGGCACAGGCTGCCCAAGGAGGTGGTGGAGTCACCATCCCTGGAGGTGGACCGTGGGGATGTGACACTGAGGGATGTGGTCAGTGGCCATGGTGGGGATGGGTTGATGGCTGGTCTTGATAGTCTTCATGGTCTCTTCTAACCTTAATGATTCTATGATCTTTGTGCATTGCTCAAAATTCATGAAGGCTATCCTTTCAACTGATAGTGTGTATTTCAGTTGACTAAAGTAGACAAAATGATTAATCTTCTTTTAAATTTTGTTGTTTTTTCCATTATAATCTATTATTGCACTTTAAAGGGCAGAGGCATGGTTTAAAATAACCTATATTCTCATCCAGTAATATATGTATAGATTAGATGGAGGAAATGCTTCCTATCCACAGAATAATAGATACTTAGTTTAAATTACTCGTTCTAAAAAGTTCCCAATTTGGCCTCACTAAGCATAAAATATTAGATTTACTGTTTGTTTTCAGTGGATTGCTGCCAATTTCCTTCTTCCTGTACATCTTTAGATTGTTAAAAACATTAAGAAATATTCAGATTGAATGCATATCTACTTACAAAAAGTCTGTTTCTAAATAGAGATTTAAAGTCTTGTTTGGACATAAATTCCTTAGCAGCACAGTTCTTGCTTTAGGTAGCTCTTCAGGTTATAGTAGGGTGTTTCATTCTGTTTAATTGGCAATAATATTTGAAACTGCTGAACTCATCCTTGCATAAAATCTTATTTACGCTATCGGAAAGAAAAGTGTGGTAGGCTTTATTTTTATCATCTCCATTACAAAACAGAAAATGGATAAGCCAAGATGTTGGTTTGATCTTGCATCATTGTAACTTGAATCAAATTTGTTCTTTAAGAAAACTCATAAATGTAAAATTTGAGATTGTGTAAACTCTGTAGTTTCAAGTGTATTTTCATAAATAAAAGTTTAAGAAGTCAGGCATAAGTGACAGGCTTTTTAGGACCATGTCATTACAGTGTGTCCAGTGATGCTGGAGTGCTTGCAATGTTTATTTTCTTCCTAGTGAAGGGGATAATCAGTATTATTTCTGCAAATTCCCTGCATGGAACAATACACTGCTGTGCTGAATCGAGTGCTGAGCGCAAAATGCTGAGTTTATTGCAGGAGTCTAAGCTGACCCATGCAGGCCTTTTCTCTGTTCTTGGGATCACCTTCTCTTTAGGGAAAAGATAATGGACCCTGAGAAGCTATTGCAATGTGCAGTGCCAGAGCAGTGCTCTTCAGCTGTCAGAGGTCAAAATCTGTTCTTCAGTACTGAAGCAAAAAACAGTTACTGACTGGAGAATGCAATGATGCTATAACAAAGATGTAGACTGATCCTTTGATGGCTGCTTAAAAGATGTATCTCTTACCTTTTCACCTGAAGGCTCTCTTTAACATCTGAGACTGTATTGGCCAGACCTTCACTGCCTCTACAGTAATGAATTTTAATTCATTAGTAAGCAGTGTGGGGAGGGTTTGTTTGTTTGTTTTTTAACTGTGACAGAGTTCTTATCAATGGACATGTCACCAGTTTTCTGGGATGGAGATGGAGGCAAAGTTTTCTGGGATGGAGATGAGTGAATGAAGTTTGAAGGGATTTTGTAACAGAAAATGTTTGTTACAAGATTATAATGCCTGTACAGCTTTAGTAAGGCATAAAGAATGAAAGGTTCCTACTTGGAAAATGTTTAATCTCAACTCAGAAGAAGCCAAAGCACAAACACACCATTTCCAGGCTGACTTGTGACAACTTATAACTAATGAACATGCAAGTGATAGAAGTGTTACATTGAAGTGCTACAAAATAAGGAATGAGTTTCATCAGCTTTATTAAACATATTTCTATCTGAAGTACTGAACTACCCATTTTGCTTGGAAATACATTTGGAAGTGGAAGAAGTTGAAATGTGTACTCTTTATAGATATTAATAAAATACATTTTTTCCTCTTCATCCCAAAAATAATAAGTGGAAGATAGAGTGCTTTTTGGCACTAGAACTGGAAAGATCTAGGAAATAAAAGAGTAGGAAGTCAACTTGCTATTTGGATACAACATTTGGAAAATTTTATGTATAGACTAAAGAAAATGGGGTGAGAAAATCTCATCAATATTATTTATGACATTTTTGGTCCATTTTTGGATTTAAGGTTCTTTATGAACTGTTAAGAGCCTTGGTAAATGAAGCAACCTCTGATTTAGGTCCCTCTGCTGCCATCTTTTTATATATACAATTACTATTATGTATAAGAAAAGACTACTGCATCAGTTTACTTAGGAACATGCTTTATGAATTATGCTTCCTGACCTATCATTTTGTTCTTATCATGACAACTTAAGTGTGGCCATTGCTTGAGAAGCTTATCTTGGTAAGGAACGTTTCTGAAGGGATAGGCAAGTAAGGGGAGTCAGTGGGGTGGTCCTCAATGTTAAGGAGTGTTGTGATGTTGTAGAGCTCAGTGCTGGGAATAATAAAGTTGGCTCCCTGTTTAATATCCTTATTGATGATCTGGATGAGGGGGATTGAGTGCAACTTCAGAATGTTTTCAGATGAACAATTTCAATTTCTTCACCAAGCTGTGAGGAAATGCGGATCTGCCAGAGTATAGTAAAGCTCTACAGAGAGATCTGGACAGGCTGAATCAATGGGCTGAGGCCAGCTGTATGAAGTTCAACAAGACTAAGTGCTGTGCCCTGCACTTTGGTCGTAGCAACCCCATGTAATGCTACAGGCTTGGGGCAGAGTGGCTGGGAGGCTGTGTGGTGGAAAAGTATCTGTGGTTGTTAATTAACAGCCAGCTGAACGTGAGCCAGCTGTGTGCCCAGGTGGCCAAGAAGGTCAGCAGCATCCTGACTTGTATCAGCAATAGTGCAGCCAGCAGGAGCAGAGAGGTGATCACTTGGCAGTGGTGGGGCCACACCTTGAGTATTGTGTTTGGTTTGGGATCACTCACAACACAAAGGTATTGAGGTGCTGGAGCATGTCCAGAGAAGAGCAACAAAGCTGGTAAAGGATCTGGAGCGCAAGTTTCATAAGGAGTGGTTGAGGGTACTTGGATTTTTCAGTCTGGGGACGAGGGGACGCAGAGGAGACCTTATCTGTGGCCAAGGTATCTTATCTGACCTGATCTGTGATAAGGTCTCCCTCTACAATGAAAGGAGATTGTAGTGAGGTGGGGTTTGGCCACAGGTAACAATGATAGAATGAGAGGTGATGGCCTCAAATTGCACTAGGTGAGATTCATGTTAAATACTAGGAAAAATTTTTTCTCAGAAAGAGTGGTAATGCAGGCTGGCCAGGGGGGTGGTGGAGAAACCATCCCTGGAGATGTTCAAGAAACTTGTAGATGTGGCACTGCAGGACATGGTTAGTGAGCAGAGTGGAGATGAGCTGACAATTTGTCTAGATGAGCTTACAGGTCTTTTCCAACCTTTATGATTCTATGAAGCAAAATACAGAAGAGTTGCTGAGGTTTTTTTTGTCCATGTTACATATAAATCTGTCTGAGAACTGTGAGGTTTTATATTCTGCACAGTCTAAAATTTTTTTCATCCCTCTCTAATACTTTTTTTTTTCTGTCCTGTGTGAATATTTCTAGATGTTTGACTGGATCAGCCACAACAAAGAATTGTTCCTACAGAGTCACACGGAGATTGGTGTGAGCTACCAACATGCCCTTGACCTGCAGACGCAGCACAATCACTTTGCCATGAATTCAATGGTGAGTTTGGAGGCATACTGTGATCTAATGGGTCTGTGTGTGTGATTGAGGTGAGTGTGTAATGTGCGAGGCTGCCTTCATTTCAAAGTGCAAGGAACCCGTGAGAAGTGGAGAAAAGTCAGGCTGTGCTGTGGCAGCAGCCCTCTTTCTGGGAAGCAGTTTTGCTCTGTCCACCCAGATACTGATATGATTATTTCCTTGACTTAAGATCAGCATGTCTTTTACATTTTGGAGAGCAAATACCATTATTTTCTAAGTTTGTGACATTTCTTTGACTGGTTATTAATGATATCTGTGTGTAGTCCTTGAATAATTTATGCTTTTTCTTCCACACCCTGGTAAGGTACTTCTCCAAACCTTGAGGCACTAATCAAGCTGTCAGTTGTGGCCACAGCGAGATTTTGGCTTTTTCAATAGTTAATTAGTTTGTTCGATTCCATTTACTTTACTATGGTTTTTTTTTAACTGTTACTATTTAAAAAAGAAAAAAAAAAAAAAGTATAATTATCCATTGAAAAGTGCTTTGCTCTCTTTCTTATTCTTACCTTGCATGAAGCATTTATTCTGGACAAAGCATATTGATGTTTTGATTGTTGTGGTGGGTTAGAAAAATGAACACAGGCATCCTGCTTCAATCATACAATGCAGAGATAAGCCCTCTTCAAATGCTGTCACTACACAAAAGCTCACCCTGACTCAGCCAACTGCTTCATACTGTGTGTGGTCTGACTATAGTTACACTGGGGATGAGGCCTTGAAGGTGGGGGTTGGTGTTTAAATTTGTGGTTTACATCACTAGAGAGTCGCACCTGACTATTTTACCAAAGGTTAAGGTGTTCTCTGAACTGTGAAAAAGAGATCCTGACCACCCAATGTTGTTAAACTGCCCACTCCTTTCATAAAGGCATGTTAACCCTTTTCCTCTGATTACATTTCTGCTCAGGTAATTCAATTTTCTGACCTAAATTCTACCCACCACTTCCACCTATCTGTTCCTCACTAAGCCCTGTGAGAAATGTTTATAATATGTCTATTAATATGTTTATTGTGATTATAATTGAAATGAGCACTGAAAAAATTAGGCTCTAGGCACTTTATAAGCTTGCCATCACGTTGCCATCCAGCAAAATGTAGAATAGCATGGCTTCTGTATAGCACTGCTGTTTGCAGAATCCTAACAAATAAGTTTGTCCTGGAGGTTAATACATTAAAAGTCATTTGGATTATGATATAAACTCAGTCGTAATCCTTCAGAAGGCATTGTCAGAAGAGTCAAACTGAAAGACCTCCCTTTATCCTTTTGTGGTGCTGCCTGGCATTATTTTCTAAAAATAACTGGCAATTGAACTTGGAAAGAGGTTATTAATGTTAATAGAAAATTAATGAATGACAGGGAGGGTGCCACCTAATGGAAGAAAAACAAAGCTTCTCCATTCTTCTGTCAGTCTCCAAATGAACTTTTGGGAATGAAAAATGCCAGAAGGTGTGGCATTTTCAAAGATTCTTGGGAACCTGCTGAGCATAGGGACCTCTCAGTGGCTCTGGTTCCTAGCAGTGCCCTCTCACCACTGCCCAACTTCTGTATCATAGAGCTGCCCAGAAACCTTTTCTGCTGTGGGGGAATAGTGGGACAGGTGTCATAACTCCCATTTTGCTCCATCTCTGATGTAAACTGCATAAATGTTTAATCGTGGGGTTTCATGTGGTTAGCATGAGTGATACTGCAAAGAGGATTGTCTTCTTCATCTCTAACACACACAACACTTATGTGGAAGGGCATCAGTACTGAACACATTCAACTTTCACCCTCTAAAGTGAGGGATGACACTCCATTCTGGACTAATTAAATGAGCTGAAATATATGAGTGTGTGCAAGAACCCCTTGCTGAAGGACCTGTACGTCAGTGATGTGTCTGCCCAGTGGCCTTTCCAGAGGGGATTTCAATTCCCAGGTTGCATAGGCTGGCTGGTGAATGGGGTTTTACAGCATGGTGACATTGGCTTGTGGCATTAAAGAGGGCTGTAGTCTTGCTGAAGGCTGGGCATCCTGCTTCTGGAATAGCAGACATGAGGGTGACTATATCAGTCTGGGTAATGACCTTAAGCTTCAGCTACTTGAACTAACCTGGAGCTGCTGGTCTCATGTCACTGTAGTTCTGCTGTCAACAGTGATACTGGTCTTTAAATTAAGTTACTTGCTTTAAAAAAAAAAAAAGAGCAATTTTTGTTATCCCCAAGAATCAGTATTGTGAACGTGAGTATGTTAGCATGCAGAAAACATCAGTTTGCTGCATAAGGGTGTTGGGCTGCATACTAGTCATCCTGACTGAGAGAAAGAATGCAGGAAGACCAAGAAGAGATTGAAATTAAAGCAACCCTTTCCTGGCCACAGCTCAGCTCCTGTGACAGGCAGTATCTGTGTCTCTTGGCAAGCATGGGAACTTTGTTAGCATATAGGAAGACAAAATGTAGTAAGGATGAAGCCTTTGTGGTAGTTCACAACAAGAGCCAGCCATGGTCAACAACAAAGTTGGGACTGAGACTTACTTGAGCAAAGCAAATACAGAGGAAGTTGGGTGGTGATTCCGGAGGATAGTGGTAGGACCTTATATGCCCCAAGCCTACCCAACAATATGAGCTGTACTTTGATGGGGAAATGAGGCTGGAAATATGCATCAGGTCTGTCTGATGCATAACGCCACTGGAAGACATGAGAATCTTGCTGGTGAGCAAGAAAACTGTAGGAAAGCATGACCACAGGTAGCCAAAATTTTTTAAGGCAAGATTTTATTTTTTTATTTTATTTTTTACCATATACAGCTTTTTGAAAGGAAATTAGTAGCAGTGATGTTACAAATATGTAATCATGCAATTGCTACTACAAAACTTTCATGCAACTATCTTTCTTGGTTCAGTTGTTGTGCCGCTGTTTGATCTCTGCTAGAGACTGTCAGATAATGACTAATGTGTATGTGCCTATTTAATGATATTTATAGGGCATTAAGAGGCACTTTGGTCACTCTGTGAAGTGTGCAGATCTCTGCCTTGCAGTGTCTGTTTCTAAAAGCTCTGCTCCTGATGTGTTTGTGTATACTGCTTTCATGCATCTAGAAGCTTCTTGCATTAAATTACCCACTGATAAACACTTGTTAATTTAAGGATTAGGATTAAATAACAATGCAGAATATGTGAGATAGAAAACTGTAGCTCTGGAGAATTTAATACTAAGCATGTATTCATTTGCATTTGCAATTATTTCTCAGTATCTTTCTTTCTGCAAAGAGAAAATGCCAGAAATCCTTTCCTGTTCCATTACTATAAATGGTAATGTAGGTAGTTGTATCCCTCACAACTCTTTGCCATCCCAGATGTGATAAACTGATCCACCCAAGTCTGAAAAATTAAGAGTCAGTGGGTTTTAATAGACACAAACATTCATACCTGATGAACTTTTGAGCTTTCTCATGCTAATTACAATACTCAAATATTTAGCTATTGTGCTCAAGACCCAAGATGTGGAGATTGGTTCAAGAACAATGACATTTTAAATGGCACAGCGTCTTTTTAAATTTGAGCCTTTTAATTTCCAAGTCTTTAGACAAAGTAGATTACACGATTCTGTTGTTTTTGTTTTTTTTTTTCTGGAGATTTACTGTAGCTTTGGTAGGAATTTGCTTTATAATTTTGCTGGATCTTTTCTAAGCAGACATGTCAGTCTCAGCAACTGTTAGGTTGCAAATAAGTTAGCTATCATGAATCTGAATAACAAGATCTTAAAAGACTCTTATTGTGTGAGATTTTGGATTTTGTGATGTTTTTGTTTTGGTTTTGGCTTCTTTTCCTCAATATATTAAAATCAGTCTCGAGAGAAGACTAGAAGAGGAGCATATAGATTAGGATGGCTACATGTTTTGTAGGGGGAGAAATGTACAGACTTTAGCAGAAGTTGGATCAGATCTTGGATCTTTAAGGTATTTTGTTTTTCTTTCTGTTCGATCCTAATGTTCTTTTGGCCTGTCATAACTAACAGGAGTTACAACGCTTTTCTCAGTTCCTCTGGTGTTATTTGGTCATGTCTTTTGTCACGTGCTCTTCCTTATAGACCCTTACAGGCATTCTGTGACCAAAGCTCCCTTATGGAAAAACAGTTTTACTCTAACCAATAATAATTCTTCCTTTTAAGTGAACAATATGGCATGTGGAATGTGGAAAAGTCGTATATTTGAGGTAATGAACTGTAGTGTGGTATTTTTCTTTCAAATAAAGACCATAGATATTCTTCCTGTAATTCAAGGCAATGCTTGTTTTCACTTCAGTTTCAAGATAAATTATGTTAGTCTTTATCACAGCTGTATAATGTTTATACTGAAGCAATACTGCTTCTCATGAAGATGAATATTTGGCTTCACTATTTTGTGAAGAATCTCATCAATCTAGTCAATTTGATTGAGTTACACTGAAGCACCAGAGCTTTTCTCTTACCACTCTGATCACAGCTCTGTACTTGGATAGATGGCATACATATTACTTGTTCTAACTGAGGTTGCTCATATTTCCTTTGCCAGGACTTTTTTTATGCCTGGATCTGTTAACCTCCTTAGAGTGAATTATCACTTTCCATGGAGCGTACATAAATATGGTGCTGCTCAGTGTTGGCAGTGCTGCCCATCCAGCTGTCGGGGAGTTAGTTGTCTAACACTAGATGGTGATGTATATCATCTTAAGAAAGTCACAATATATTTCATACAAATTACAATTATTTTGTAAAGGCTAATGAGGTCTTTTGGAAAAAAAATTCCTATCATTGATATTAAAAGAACAATATATTTTTGTGTGTAGGCTGAGCTAAAATGCCATCCAACGTTATTCTGCAACATGCTAAATGTAATTGGTCTTCTTATAGAAACTTAAAGGTCTTAAAGATATCTCATGAGATTATTTTATCACTGAAACATTCTGCTTTGGATTTATGTGTTAGGTTCACTTCACAGATGGTTTCTAAACTTGTGGTGTGAGCTTTCTTTTTCTTCCTCAACAATCAAATTTTGCCTTCAATTAATCTGCAGTTCCCCATGTTCACTCAGCCATCGCAGTATGTCAACCGTTTCTCTAGGAAAGGAGATGAACACAGCCAAGTTTCTTGCAAATTTAATGTTTCTTACTGCTCGTTTTTCTTTCCAGAGTGCAAGGTGTTCTCTATATATGTGTAATAGAAGAAAGCATCACTCCAGCTAGAGTTGGAGGGCTTAATTTAGAGGGAAAGTCTCTCAGCATGCCCTTTAGATGATCAGGTCTGAATTAGTGCTTTGTTTCCCTGTGGGAGATCATTCCACAACTGAATTGCCACTACTGTCTGTGCTTATTGGCAAAGGCTGTCATCCTAACTAGTGTTAGGGACTTGAGTGATGATAACAAACACTGGAAGGAACAGCTATGTTTTAGACATTAATTATAAGAATCAAGGCCTTGTTTAGGCTACAGGAGTGGACTAAGACTTGGTGGACAAAATGAGGTGTTCTACGCTGGAAAGGCATTGCACATGAGAAATATTCATGCATATTATGCTACTGATGCACATGTGAAGGAATCTTTGTTGTTGTTGTTGTTGTGTTTTTTTGTCAAATGTTCCTTAGGAGCAAAAAGTCCCCTTTGTTGCCCTAAATTTCACAGGTGAAAGAAATGAAGGAAAAATTAAAATTTAAGATAGTGACTGCTTTTGGAAACTGCAAATAACTGTAAAATAATGTTTTCTCAATGATAAAGAAAAGATTAGCCAAAACTTGGTTTTCCCCCGGTTTCAATACAACAGAATGTCAACTGTAGTGCTTTTGCCCTTGCTTCTAGACATTAATATATTGTTTTCTCATAGTTTACCTACTGTACTTCTGTGTAGCCATAAATCAGTATACCCTTGCATTACTCTTTGGGGACAATTCTCTTCTATGAAGAAAAACACCAGGAAGGGAAGAAAAAAAAAAAAAAAGAGCTTGGACTTAGGTTATATTTAAAGTGAAACTCTCTATGAACCTGCTAACTGTGGATTTTTCCATCCTAAAGGAAAAATAAAGTCACAGACATTAGTTGCTCTATCTAACTTGCTCTCTTTTAGGATCAAAAGATCCATGTAACTGTAATACAGAAATTCCCCTTCCTTCAGTTTTTAGAGATGAGCAAATCAGAGGGAAAAGAAGTTGTAACTCTGAAATGTCACAGTTAAATTTTGGCATTTTCGATTTTTTTTTGTTCCATTTTACTTGGAACATTACACATTGGCTGATAAAGATGAAAGCAACTTGCTTACAATTTTACTCTATTCCATGATGGGAAAATAAGTGTCTTGCAATTTCTGTGGATTGTGGTCTGTTAAATGTTTTTTGTTGTTTTTCTCCCAAAACTAAATTCTGGAGTGCTTTGAAGCCATATTGGATTTTGTTTCAACCCACAACAGCAATCCAATTCTCCTTCACAATCTTGACTCCATTTTTTCCCAGTAATGGTGACAGTGTTCTGAGATAAGAAATAAAATGTCTGATAGAATGTGCTAATTGAGATTTTTAGTCAAACGTTGGGTTTCTTTGAGACCTTGGACTGATATTGTATGTCCAAGCCCCGCTTCAGTGTCACTGAATCACTGAGATATGAGAGACAGTGGATGAAAGGGGGTACCTATGTCATAGAGTAGGAGGTATCCACATGGTACTACCAACTGGAACTGTAGAGAAGAGCACATCACATCTGAGTCTGCGCTTGGATCCGTTTATCATTCAGGAAGCAACTGAGGAAACTTTGGATCCTCTGTTTTCTGAGCCAGTTCCACTTGGTGCATTGAGAACAGAGGTGACACCCACACAGCTCCTTGCATTCTGTTGGAAGTGCGATGGAGTCGGTAGGTTGGTTACAGCACAGGTTGGTACTCTGCCGTTAAAAAGCCTCATCTAGGAAAATGAAATTTCCTCAGTGAAAATCTTCATCTCTGTGTAAACATATAACAAAGAGACATAAGGATATAGAAATCTCCCTAACTTGAAAAACAGACTCTAGGAACATCTGCCGTATTTAATCTAAGCTTACTTCTACCTTCTACTAGTTAGTTGGTGCATCTATATGCTGTAGCTGCAGAGAAATGAGGAATTCACAGTTTTTCTCCTGTTGGATGATGCCCACTGCATTGCAATATCCAAAATAATTCTGGGGGGCGGGGGGGGGGGGAAGAGAAAAAAAGAGG